ATTTTCATATCACAAAATAAAACTAATAATCGCCATGCAGCAAATTCAATTAGTCTAAACAATAACAACATAGAATGTTGCTCGTTATATATCACGAAATCAAAATCCATCACCAACAAAAAAAACGAGATCAACAATTCCAAACAGAAAATTGTGATTTCTGACTTTGCGAAGAAAATATGAAAAACAACAAAAAAGAAAAATAGAATAAGCTAAGGATCAAACGAATAGAACAAAAGAAAATTACACATAGTGGAATAGTACATACTTTCGACGAATTATCTTCTCTTTGTGATTTCTCTTGGACGATGCCATTGAAGAAATATATGAAGATAAACACCAATAAATTGAATGCTAGGGGGTTCGAACTTGGGGAGATTTGTCTTTGTGGTTAGGTTGGGGCTTTCACTGGTACGGACACAGAGACAAGGGGCTATGTCATGTTGAAGAACGAACGCGGAGGAGGAGGTTGTTTTGTTTTGTGACCTGCTCTGCTCTGCTAAAATATCTGAAAGAACTGGGCGAAGTTTTTGAATCCAGCTCGATACAAGAAGGGGTTAGACCTAATTAAGGGGCCTTTTAGCCCATTTTATAAAAGCCCAATGCTTAATCCGATGGCCTCGGCCCAGCTGGACCATGGCAGATAGTCCCCCTTCCCATGAATATGACGAGAGGGAGCTGTTTAACGTAGGGTACAACTTGGATAAGTTGGGCTAGTTTGAGAAGTTAACTTTAATTTAATCTTAAGTATAAATTTTTAATTTTAACCCTAAGTCTAACTCGATCTCACTTCAAGGTGTTCAATTCAAGTATTACTTAAGTTGAATTTAGACAAGCTCANGTATAAATTTTTAATTTTAACCCTAAGTCTAACTCGATCTCACTTCAAGGTGTTCAATTCAAGTATTACTTAAGTTGAATTCAGACAAGCTCAAATTGAATTTGAATTTGAATTTGAAATGGATTTATTTAAACCCGAAATTAACATGTTTGTTGTAAATCTGATATATACTATATAATATTCACCTAAAATAACAATCAACAATTTTAATTATATATTTATTATAAAGACCATAGTATTTATAGCAAGAAAAATCACAAAAACCAAATTATCATTTTCTTAAGGTAAAGACATAAGAGCTAAATTAAGATAAAGGCATAATAGCTAAATTAACATAATAGTCATAATAGCAAAATTAATTTAAAAAAAAAACATACTGAACTCAATGTTTAATTATAATATTTGAGTTGAGTCCGATTTAATATTCGAATTGAACACGAATATATAATTGGGTTAAACTCAATGACCCGAGACCTCTAACCTAATTAATATCCAAATTCAATTGAAATTAATATATTTCAACTCAAACTCAACTTAAATATTAAAATCCTCGGCTCAAACTCTTTTTTCGGTTCCGATCGGACCGCCCAAATTACACCCCTAAAAAAAAAACATCTTTGACGGAGTCTCTGATGCTGATAATTACAAGAACGGAATAAAGCAACAAAAATTATATTATTAAGAAGAACAGAGTGATAAAGACAAGCTCTAGTCCCTGGTAACTCTTTACAGTTTTTTGGCGAATTCAACAAGAATTTTCTTGTGATGTCGAATCATCATCGCTTAGCCTCCAGTATTAAATACCATGGATCGTTGGATCAGTAGTTGTATACATAATATAAGATAATATATAAGGAGTAGTTTCAAGGTACAGAAAGGTAGCAGCAGCATTATTCTTGAAAATGGAGAGGAGACTAATAATGTCTGACTTTGGCTTCTTGCTGGCCTATGTGACTCTGTTACTCTCAGTCAGTCTCGAGGCATCTGGTGGTCCCTCGGAGATCAAGACCGGCACCGCTTTTTTCATCTTCGGCGACTCCTCCGTGGACTCTGGCAACAACAACTACATCGACACCATCCCTGAGAACCGGGGAAATTACAAGCCTTACGCCCAGAATGGCTTCTTTAAAGAACCCACTGGACGCTTCTCTGATGGCCGCATCATAGTTGATTATATAGGTAGGTAATCACAACATACATATAATTAATTAATTATTCAACTATCTAGTAATGAATGTCTTGGAAAGAGATTACGATTATCTAATTGCTTGACAACTTAACTTTCGATTTTGGCTGTTGACTTTGGGATCGATCACATATTCATAACTTGACGGATGGTATATATGGTGGTGAATGGTGATCCATCCAGCCGAATATGCCAACTTGCCACTAATTCCTCCATTTTTACAACCGTCTGCTGAATACGTGAATGGAGTCAACTTTGCCTCTGGAGGGGCTGGAGTTCTTTCTACCACCAATCAGGGCCAGGTAAGGAATTCCTTCCATCACTAACCATTTACACACTTCAACAATATGTACAAATCAACACGATTGTTAGACCCAAAAACAATTGTCAATCAGTGTGTGCCGTTCAAATATATAAACCAACTTTGTCATCCGTCTACTAAAATTTTCCACTTAACTTGTGAATTTTCCTCTGTTGTTAGGCCATTGATCTTAAGACACAACTCAAACACTTTGAAGAGGTGCAAAATTCATTAACAAAGAAGTTGGGAGATGCAGAAACAAAGGAGCTTCTATCAGAAGCAGTTTATTTCATTAGCATTGGAAGTAATGATTATATGGGTGGTTATCTTGGTAATCCGAGAATGCAGGAACAGCATCCTCCTGAAGAATATGTTGGGATGATCATTGGGAACTTGACACAAGCAATCCAAGTAAGCTTACACCTTTTGCCTTTTTTCTACATGCTCCTTGTAAATGTTCCTAGTAATTGAAACTAGTTAAGGTTTGATTGGAATGTTGATCTTGCGATGCCTGGTTACTGACTCATTTTTGCTTGTGATGACTCCAGGAATTGTATGAGAAAGGCGGTAGAAAGTTTGGTTTCCTAAGCTTGTCACCACTGGGTTGCTTACCAGCACTTAGAGCCCTCAACACCAAATCTAACGTAGGCAGTTGTTTTGAAGAGGCTTCTACTCTCGCGTTGGCACATAATAATGCTTTGAAAGCTGTCCTAACAAGAATTGAACATCTANTCAACTATCTAGTAATGAATGTCTTGGAAAGAGATTACGATTATCTAATTTCTTGACAACTTAACTTTCGATTTTGGCTGTTGACTTTGGGATCGATCACATATTCATAACTTGACGGATGGTATATATGGTGGTGAATGGTGATCCATCCAGCCGAATATGCCAACTTGCCACTAATTCCTCCATTTTTACAACCGTCTGCTGAATACGTGAATGGAGTCAACTTTGCCTCTGGAGGGGCTGGAGTTCTTTCTACCACCAATCAGGGCCAGGTAAGGAATTCCTTCCATCACTAATCATTTACACACTTCAACAATATGTACAAATCAACACGATTGTTAGACCCAAAAACAATTGTCAATCAGGGTGTGCCGTTCAAATATATAAACCAACTTTGTCATCCGTCTACTAAGATTTTCCACTTAACTTGTGAATTTTCCTCTGTTGTTAGGCCATTGATCTTAAGACACAACTCAAACACTTTGAAGAGGTGCAAAATTCATTAACAAAGAAGTTGGGAGATGCAGAAACAAAGGAGCTTCTATCAGAAGCAGTTTATTTCATTAGCATTGGAAGTAATGATTATATGGGTGGTTATCTTGGTAATCCGAGAATGCAGGAACAGCATCCTCCTGAAGAATATGTTGGGATGATCATTGGGAACTTGACACAAGCAATCCAAGTAAGCTTACACCTTTTGCCTTTTTTCTACATGCTCCTTGTAAATGTTCCTAGTAATTGAAACTAGTTAAGGTTTGATTGGAATGTTGATCTTGCGATGCCTGGTTACTGACTCATTTTTGCTTGTGATGACTCCAGGAATTGTATGAGAAAGGCGGTAGAAAGTTTGGTTTCCTAAGCTTGTCACCACTGGGTTGCTTACCAGCACTTAGAGCCCTCAACACCAAATCTAACGTAGGCAGTTGTTTTGAAGAGGCTTCTACTCTCGCGTTGGCACATAATAATGCTTTGAAAGCTGTCCTAACAAGAATTGAACATCTATTCATGGGTTTCAAATACAGCAATTCCTATTTTTACAATTGGCTTGATGACAGAATCAATAATCCCACAAAATTTGGTATGTGCACTGCAAACCCCCAGTATTCCACAATGTTCAGCATCCTATAGGCAATCATAAGCATCTGATTTACTCTTCTGACACCTGAAAAATAACATAGAGGAGATAAAAATATTGAGATCTGATTGCTGCATTGATTCCCAAAAAAATGTTACTCACGTTCATCTAATGTCAACATTAGAAATGGTTACTTACCCAAAAAAAATATTAGGAATGGTTAGTCAACTGTAGGTCATAGCCTATATTATCTTTCACACCCAATCAGAAATAGTCACAAATTACAATATAGAGATCAAATAAGATTGGGTTTGTAGTTAGTGATCAGAGTGTAGGATCGATCCTATTCCTGTCATCGCTTTGTTTACTGCTATATGTATGCTCCCTATTGTATTTCGGATTTCAGTTAGCACATTGAGGTGGGGATGTATCAGTAATCTTAGCTAATAATCAGTGCTTTCTTTGGTTGTAAAGGTTTCAAGGATGGAGTGAATGCTTGTTGTGGAACTGGACCCTATGGGGGCATCTTCAGCTGTGGAGGCACAAAGAAGGTGAGAGAGTACCAATTATGTGATAATGCTGATGACTATGTATGGTGGGATTCTTTCCATCCAACTGAGAGGATCCACGAACAATTTGCAAAGGCTCTGTGGGATGGACCTCCATCCTATGTAGCCCCATACAACCTAAAAGATCTCTTCCTCACGATCAACAAGGAGAAGCTCACTATTGGTGATATTGTTGACAACCCAGAGAACGAGCAGACTTTTTACGAATCTCTGTAACACTTGTTTTATTTCACATGGGAAGGGTAGTTTCACCAACAACTTCATCGTATTGTCTACCACCAATGAATGTGGATTATGGATTATAAGCATGTTAATTATTCCAAATGCAATGCCAATGCAGTTGGTAGAGATAAAAGTTCAATAGCGCTCTGCTTAATTTGCACCATATACTTCTCTGTTGCTTTTGGCAATTTTTTTTCTTCTTTTGCTTGCCAATAAAAGAAGTACAGGGAAAGGAGTGCACGAAATAAAAACTATGGACTAATACTATCTTAGCTAAGTGTAAGGGGTAGAACCCTCCACTAAGGATTTCGGCTTGACCTGGGTTAACCCACGCGGGCGACCCCCCAGTAGCATTTACCTCTCAGTGCCCGCAGGAGCTTCGTCCCACATCGACTGAGAGTCGTCTCCCCCCCCCTCGCATATAAGCCCTTGCACTCAAAGGAGGAGGTACCCACTAGTGACCTGATCAGGTGCCTAGTGGGTACCTCCTCCTTTGAGTGCAAGGGCTGATATACGAGGGGGGGAGACGACTCTCGGTCGATGTGGGACGAAGCTCCTACGGGCACTGAGAGGTAAAGGCTACTAGGGGGTCGCCCGCGTGGGTTAACCCAGGTCAAGCCGAAATCCTTAGTGGAGGGTTCTACCCCTTACACTAAGGCTACTTCTATCTCCACTGACGCATTCTATGGTGCTGTGGGAGAGCTTCTGCTTCCAACAAACCAATAAAATCCATGGGTAGTCCCCATTTGGCCAAAGCGTGAGCTTTAGAATTGGATTCCCTTGAAATATGATTCATGGCCCAGTCTAGATGAGTTGCCAAAAACTTCTTGATGTCTTGGATTTGGATAATATGGAAAATGGACCAGTGAACCTTAATATGTTCAAGCATTGCTGCATGGATGATGCTCTGCCATTTAATTACTACTGGTTGTGCTTGGCGGTAGATGTCCCCAGACCAACCCGGTGATTAATCGTATGGTTGTTTGGACTGACTAGTGACAGGTATTACTCATAAAACAAAAATTCGAGACTACGACCCTTTGCTCTCTTAACCAAACACAGCATCTATAGACTCCATAAACTATAAGTCCATGACATCTTTATGCTATCAAGCCATACAAAAAACCCTCCACTGCAAATGCTACTTGAGTTAGCTGAGTATTTGAGGATGCCGTTGCTGCACTCATCTGGAAAATATCTGGGGTTGCCAACTGAATGGGGGAGATCAAAGAAGCAAACTCTTGGATGGATGAAAGACAGAATTCTAAGCAAGATAGCCGGGTGGAAAGAAAAAATGTTGAGCTACGCTGGGAGAGAGATTCTTATTAAAGCAGTGGTACAATCAATTCTGAACTATGCAATGTCAATCTTTAAATTTTCAATGTCTTTCTGCCAAGAAATCACAGCTAGAATTAGGAGTTTNCGACCCTTTGCTCTCTTAACCAAACACAGCATCTATAGACTCCATAAACTATAAGTCCATGTCATCTTTATGCTATCAAGCCATACAAAAAACCCTCCACTGCAAATGCAACTTGAGTTAGCTGAGTATTTGAGGATGCCGTTGCTGCACTCATCTGGAAAATATCTGGGGTTGCCAACTGAATGGGGGAGATCAAAGAAGCAAACTCTTGGATGGATGAAAGACAGAATTCTAAGCAAGATAGCCGGGTGGAAAGAAAAAATGTTGAGCTACGCTGGGAGAGAGATTCTTATTAAAGCAGTGGTACAATCAATTCTGAACTATGCAATGTCAATCTTTAAATTTTCAATGTCTTTCTGCCAAGAAATCACAGCTAGAATTAGGAGTTTTTGGTGGAGTAAGTCTACAGGAGAAAAGGGGATTCACTGGACAAAGTGGTATCAAATAACTAAAAGAAAGCAGGATGGAGGACTGGGCTTTGGGGACCTTTGATCAGTGTTATTAGAATCGGAACGGACAGGCCAGTTGGACCGATTCAACCGCAAACTAGACCTAGACCGATCCAGTTTCCTAGTTGGACAGCATAAGACAGGAAACCGACTATAAACCAAAAAATTGACCCATTTTTATAAAAAATCATGAACCGACAGTTGTACAAGATTTGAGGGTCTTTTTTTTTTTTTTTGCCCTAAATCGCATAACAGAAGGCACCACCAGCACCAGGCTCCAGCAACATCAAGGCCTCAGGCAACTTATGGACTTCGACTGCGATCAGCGGCATCAGCCACAACGATTAGCGACCAAGGAGGGATCTTCGACTGCGATCAGCGGCATCAACCACAACAATTAGCGACCAGGGAGGGATCTTCAACTGCAACCAGCCATCTTCGACTACGATCAGTCACTGCGACCAACAATCTTCGACTNTAGGCTTTGGGGACCTTCGATCAATGTTATTAGAATCGGAACGGACAGGCCAGTTGGACCGATTCAACCGCAAACTAGACCTAGACCGATCTAGTTTCCTAGTTGGACAGCATAAGACAGGAAACCGACTATAAACCAAAAAATTGACCCATTTTTATAAAAAATCGTGAACCGACAGTTGTACAAGATTTGAGGGTCTTTTTTTTTTTTTTTGCCCTAAATCGCATAACAGAAGGCACCACCAGCACCAGGCTCCAGCAACATCAAGGCCTCAGGCAACTTCTGGACGTCGACTGCGATCAGCGGCATCAGCCACAACGATTAGCGACCAAGGAGGGATCTTCGACTGCGATCAGCGGCATCAACCACAACGATTAGCGACCAGGGAGGGATCTTCGACTGCAACCAGCCATCTTCGACTACGATCAGTCACTGCGACCAACAATCTTCGACTGCAATCAGCGAATCCAAAACTGCAATTAGCCACTACGACCAGCGATCTTCGACTGTGACCAGTAAACCCAACGAACCCAGACTGCGATCAACAACTCAGGCGAACCCAGCGAGCGTAGGCGTCATCTCCACCCTTTAAGGTAAAAACTTTCTTTCAAATCTTATACAATAAATTATGGTTTGTGTTTTTGGGCATAATATGATCTAACCAGGTTTGTATTTGCGTTTGTGTTTTTGATTGTGAGTCTGTGACAATGTGACTACATTTTTAATTTTTTAGTATAATATGTGATGTTTGTTTAATTATTTGTTGTATAATTCTGCACATTGTTGGTTGATTTTGCACATTGTTTGATGATTTTGCACATTTTTGGGTCTGAGACAGTGTGACTACAAAATCAATGTATTTTGCACATATTTTATATTTTTTTTAGTTAAATTATTATATTTTATAATTATTATATATATTTTTTTATTATATGGCCGGTCCGGTTATGATAATATTGTCTTGAACAGTCCAATGTTGCAATGTTAGCGAAGCAAGCTTGGAGACTCATGAATAATCCAGAGGTTCTTTGGGCTAAAATCTTAAAGGCAAAGTACTTTCCTAACCAATCTTTTTGGACAGTGTCCTCCAAGAAATCAAGCTCATGGATTTGCTGGATGGGAGGGAGTTGATTAGAGAAGGACATATATGGTAGATAGGAGATGGCNCATGGATTTGGAATAGTCTGCTGGATGGGAGGGAGTTGATTAGAGAAGGACATATATGGTAGATAGGAGATGGCAGTCAAGTTAAGTGTTGGGAGGATGTGTGGATTCCTGGGCACAAAGCTATTCCCAACTTTCAACAAGACGCATACAATTAGTCCAACAACTTATCAACCCAACAACTAGAAGATGGAAGGTTGAGGAGGTGCAAATTAATTTTCCACCAGATATAGCTCAAGAGATATTGGCTATCCCTCTTAGTGAAACACCCTAGGTTGATGAAATAAAATGGGAGTTTACAAGCAATGGAGTATATACTGTTAAAAGTGAGCATCATATGCAAGCACAAAGAGCTCAAGCTCCTCAGGCCAGAGACACTGCCTCCTCATCTTATCAAACTCCAGAAGGGCTATGTAAGAGTATTTGGAAAAGTAAGGTTCACCCCAAAATACAAGCATTTATGTGGAAAGTTGCAAATGGAGGATTGACAACTAAATGGGAGCTATGAAGGAGAAAGCTGTCAAATTCACCAACTTGCCCCATATGTGGAGAGGAAAAAGAGGCCACCGAACACTTGCTATTACTTTGTCCATGGGTGCAAATGATGTGGAGGAATTGCCTTTTAAACATTAAGGTAGACAGGTATGGCATAAGTAGATTTGAAAATTGGTTTATTAGGCAGCTACAAACCAGCAAGGGGTGTGGTGAAGGAGAACACGAGGGCCAAACTCTACTAATATACCTATGTTGGTTCACATGGAAGTCCAGGAATGATTGGGTTTTCAACCATAAACAGCCATGTAGTAAACCAGTTATCACAAATGTTGTAATAACAGCAAACGAATTGAACAATTGCAAGGTTGTACCCAGTGTTATTTAAGGCGTAAAGCGAACCGAAGCGACCAAGGCTCCTAACGCTTAGGCGAGAAGCGAGAAGCGAAGCGACACGCTTTACCGAAGCAAAGCGAACAGTTAAAAAAAATATATATTTTAGTTTAATTACTTCTAAACAATCTAAGTTCTAATTTTATATATACTAAATATTTAAATGCAAGTAAAATCATAAACATTTAAATTAAAAAAAATACTAATAATATCTCAAATCTTAATAACAGTCATAACTTAAACATTTAAATTCAAACAAATACTAACAATTGTATACATTTTCATATTGACAGGGTA